TGAAGTAGCACATACTCGATAATATTGATTCCAATTAATACAACTATTGATTGTTTTATTTATTACTGATGAATTTGATGAATAAAAATCAAGTTCACATGTTATATTATTTTGATGTAATTTTGGAATTTCTGAACATTTACCCATTCCATTTGATGATGGTAGAGAACAAACGTATGAATCTTGATTCGAAGGAACGTAAAAAGGTTGAAAAGAGAAATGACTAAGAAAGAAAAAAAAATTAAAAATTTTATTATTTTAAATAAATATACTTGAATAATATCGAATTATTTGTATCTGTAGTATTTGATTGAAAAAAACAGCGATTACGTAATAATCCGTTCCATAATTGTACACCAATAATACCAAAAATAAAAAATACAAAAAAGCAAAGAAAAAGTACATTGCCAAGCATAGGTAATGTATCAAGTAGAAGCATTACAAGAATACGCATTGATGGTATACGATTAATAGCACGTAATGGACGAAGTACTCGAACTGTACGTATCGCTGATAAACTTAAACTATCACCTGGTATTAACAATTCAACTAATCTAAATATAAAAATATTTTATTGATTCGAAAAAGGAAAATAATTTAATCTTACCCAGTAAGAACAATAAAACAATCAAGACGATTCCATGATTCAGCTAGATAAGTTCCTTTACCAAATATTCCCATTGCAACCATTTTAATAGACATTTCAATTATAAAATATGCAAAAATAAAATATTCTATTGTTTGTAATGATATACAACGTGCTGTATCACATTTTTTTGATAAATCGATACCGGTAGAATGTGCACATGGTTGATACATACCAAGTGTAATACAATTAAGTAAAATAATAAACATTGTTAAATGTTCAAACCATGGCCATGTTAAAAGTTTTAAACATTGATAACGTACTAATGTTGTTTGTCGAAGACAATAAAATGATTTTTCAATAAAACCTGGAAATGGTAATTTAGTTTCATGTATTTCATTAAGATTACATATATCTGATAAATTATTTAATGAATTATGTTTATTTATAAAATGATCAGTTTCATTTATATGTGAATCATCATTTGAGATATTAATTATTGTTGGTAATGATGTATGAGATATATTTATATTATCATTCATACTTGAACAGTAATTATTACTGAATGATTGAAATAGATTAACAGATAACGACAGTCGACATTGATAAATACCTAGAAAATATGATTTATATTTAACATCAATGTAGATTAAATCGATAAGAATTTATACTATCGTTTACAGGCCTTGGTTTTAGTATCGTACTATACTCACATTTGTAGAAAATGAAATGTACGTAGAGAGATCGGCCAGGTATAGGAAAATATGAAGATCGAATAGAAGAGGTCAAAAATAAATAAATATATGAATTTAATACAGATTAATAAGAAGATTAAATATAAGTGAATATTTTATTAGTAAATAACAAGATTAAGTATAGTGTTATATATACGAGATTTAAATGTAAAGATAAGAGGATTTAATAAATATAAAAAGATTAGAAATTGAAATGAAGAGTAGTAGTTCATAAGTATCACAGAAAATTCGTCTACTAGAAATTTTTCTAATCTAATTTTGACTAGATCTTATATTCGATTCACTATTGAAAATTTCTTTCTCAATACAATGGATAATTTTCATTATTAGACAAATTAATTCAGTTTATTTTATCTTTATTCTAAACGGGAATAAAGAATCTTTACCCCGCCCGTTAATCATTGGAGTCATCATTTATAAAAATGTGATACTTAAATATTTTTACAAAACTATTTCCTAATAGTTGATTCAGTGCATTTTTTTTGATACTATTCTGAAGGGCAAAAAGTTAAGTGACGATAAATAGTTTGAATAGACTGGATTTTTATTCGATTCGAAAAACAAACATATACACAATATATTTTTACACGAATAATCAATCTATATGATTAAATATAAATATGCACTACTCACTTTTATGCTCTGCTCTTGATGATTATAAAATACTATTTTAATCAATCGTTATAGATTAGATACTTTTTTCTTTCTATTCTTTCTTTTTTTTCTTACGGTCGATATTACTAATTATAACAGTATTTTTTTTTTCTTTTGAAACATCAAAAATTGCTTTTTGTTGAAATTTTTATTTCATATATTTTTTACATTATTGATAATAACAACAATAATATCTGTGAAATTAAATGAAACAAAAATTATTTATGTTGTTATAATTCGATTAAAATTATGTAAATATTCTTTTCTTTTCGTGTTAGACTATTACCTGTAGTCACAAGCTATGACTACTCACGTTGTTCTTTATCTTTTCTCCTTGTTTTTGATTCTCACTTTGCAATAAATTGATCAATAAGTATATGTAATATACTTTTTCGGCTTATTTTTTTTCTCTTCGTTATTTTTAATTATAACGATGTTTTTTTTTCAAGCCTTGAATGATATTTTCATTGAAATGCTTACCTCCCAATTTATTTCTAATTAATTGATATAATTGAGAACGACAATATCTGTTAAATCAAACGAATCAAAAAAATCATTTATATTCTTTTTATTATACTACTTGTATAAAAGAATCTTTCTCTTTTTATATACCATTCTATTGGATGTCACTTCAAGGTATTATTACACACGTTTTTTTTATCGTTCGTTCTCACTATTGAATGTAATAATATAATAATTTGATCAATGATTGCAGATTATATACTTTTTTTTTGCACATTATTTATAAATATATATCTATCTCCTTTCTCTTACAATAGTCTTTTTTTGATATTGAACTATAAAAATTTAATTAAAAATAATTTGAAAAACAATATGTCCATATCAAATAGGATTCTAATTTTGAACTATCAATAAACAAAAAATTTTTAGGGCTACTTGATTTTGTTATTGAATATTAAGAATGAATATATTCTTTTGTAATTAAAAAAATATTTTCTTATTTTACCACAAAGAATTAAAAACAAATTGGCTTTTATATTAACTTGTTAGAATCAACATATGAATAAATCGATCAATACATTAAATGTTGGATCAAACGAAAAAACTATTGTTAAATATAGTCATAATATTAAGTGAGATTAAAAGGACGATTCTTATTGACATGTTTAATATCGTATGGGATTTTATTCTTTATTGGAAATTTTATAACCAAATAAAGTTCAGTTTAATACTACTTTATATGTAGTCCTATACGCAATAACAATTCATTGATAACTAAATCGATTAGTAACTTTGACCATAATATTAGCATTTAAAATAGATAAATTTCAAAATACTAATATTACTCATGATCTGTTTTTATTACATGAATATAGATAAATGACTTATATTCATGTCTTATGTCTACGCTAACCTTCGTATTGAAGTTCTATATATATAACAACTAGAAAAAAATTTCTCTTTTGATACATTGAACCAATCTTTCATATTTTTTTCCATTAACAAAATCGATGCACTTAAAATTAATATTTTAAATAAACTATTTAAGGATGGATGAGTGTATGTGTGAATATACGTTTCGTTTTCACATACTATATTATATTTATATCTCGTTAAATACTTAACCGTTTGAATTTATAAGTTTCGTGACATTACTCCTCTTTACTAAAAAAAATTCATTCCATGTAAAGAAGGTGATCATAAAGCTGTTGCACTTTGGCATTTTTTAAAAGTATTTCTCACCAGTGGCGTAGCCAGGGTAAGGTAAATGTGCAATTATCCATTTCCTTTGGAGATTTACTTATTGTAATTTCTATTAATAAGCTATTGGCTATTGAAATTTTACTTTTTAAAATTTTTTTCTTTTGTTTGAAGTAGACATGCGCTGTTTGCTTGTTCGTTCTGTAAAGAATTAAGAAAAGAATCACTTCTTTTTTTTTACTTGTAAGTTTGGGTGTACATGAATTCGATTTTATCGGGAAGACGCTAGTCACGTAAAGAAAGAGAAGATAAACAAGAATACAGAACAAGCCTGTATCAGCAGCTTCTGCTGAGTGAAGTTTAAGTCAATTATCAGAAACTAAAAGTTATTGTCGATCTACAATGAAACAAAATAGACGAAATGAACTTGCTGTTAGTTACATTCATAAAGATCTCGATATAAATCCAGATGAAATTATATACACAAACAAATTCTGGTCGTTCTGATTTATGTGTTTGAATTTGAAACATACATGTTAGAAACAGAGACACTAAAAATATATACATAACTATGACTTAAGATCTGAGTTTCATGCATGTTTGATTAAAAGAACTTCATTTCATTCTTTGTATTTTTTCTACGTCAACAATACTTCGATGGACAAAAAAATCTTGCCCATTAGTCTAAAAATCCTAACTACGCCACTGTTTCCCACAGGTAATATGTTATAATACCACTTTACTGTAAAAATTAACGAAAAGTTATTCAATTATACTTCCTTTTTTTTCTATGATACAAAAATACTACTATAGTCTATTAACATTCAACTGATTATTTCAAATCAGTTTATTTATATATCCACTCTACTGGTTGATGAAAATAATATTTTACATTCAGTCACGTTTTCAGTACAACGTTTTTTTACCTCAATACATATTCTAAAATAAAAGTGCTTTTAAATTCATCTAAAGTTTGTTGCAAATATTAATACATGTGATTCATAAAGAGAAATATTTAAACCGCGAGAAACTAACGAAAATTATTTATATGAGAATATTAATGACCTTGAGATTTATTTTATATCTTTATAATTGATCGTGGAATGAGTTAACAACGTTCATGTATGTCTATTTTTAAGAATGATCGAGAATTTCAATATAAAATGACATAAATTTTACTTTTCATTTTATTTTATATACAAAAAAACAATCGATTAATCTTGTATAAATTTATTTATAGAAAGAAAACTACAAAATTTTATCATTTAATATTTAAAAAATGTTAAAAAAGAATAATATTCTTGCGCTTGATTATAAATGCTGAGATAAAGAAGCTTATCTGATCATTTTGAGTCAGGCTAAAGTATAAAATAATTATTATGATCAAATTTGAGGAAGAAATTCAAAGATTATTTACATTATGATGGATGGTAACATGAATTTCACCTTTTGAACGGAGACCCAATAAAGCTGGTAATTTAACCCATTCATCGAAATCACCTTTTCCAAAGTCATGTTTTTTCAAATTAATTTTTGCTGAACCAATTGCATCTTTACCTACTGCATCATCATCATATACACATAGATGTAAATCATCATGGTTTCTGTCCAAATTACTAAAATAAAAGATAAAAATGAATACATTGAAACTGATGATATGATAAATAAACTTACAAATTAAATTTTTCATTCCATTGTGGATCATTGTTATTCTTAATAGTTTTTGTTCGTTGTTTATAGTCTTTATCCAAATAAACTTCAACAAAAGCATCATTTTTACCGACAATGTCTTCATCTTTAAGATGACGAGCTTCGACGATAGTTACTTCTAAAGTTCCGTGTGAGCCACTCATTTTGATTCGATTTTTTTTTGTTGCAAATAGATTAATAAATGAAAAAAAGAAATGAATTTGTGATGCTTTTATACTACCTTTTTTTTACTCAAAAATCAGAAAAAAATTATTCATGTCTTCCTTTTCTATTCTTTTCTGCGTATAATAATATTAAGTTGATGTTGTTATGGTAAAAGAAAAAAAACGATAGAGAAATGTCTTGTTCTTATAGAGTTTTATTTACATAAATGTGGACAAAAAATTCATACAATTGCAGGAAGAAAAAGTTTAAAAATAAATTCATCAGTAGAGTGGTGTAGGTCGATAAGTATTTTATAAAATTTCATCCTTAAAAGACAAAAAAAAATTATTTATACATAAAAAGAACAACAGCAAATATTCCAGAATAGGAATGTTTATTTGAAACGAAATTTAATCGTTCGAGAATCATATGATTAAGGACGACATTACTTCAAAGCTTCATTGTGTATTTATGATGAGATGTGAAGTTCGAGTAAAGAGCCAATCTTTGATAAAACTACTTTTACATCCTCCTACTCGATAAGTAGGAAGTAATTTCTAAACAGTTATATCGAATTTACAATTGAATACTCTATCGATTAGTACTAAATTCAATAGAAATTGTTGCATTTTTTATTCTTACTCATATGAATCAGAATTCACTATAAACCATTGATAATAATCTTTCTATCAAAGATCTTTTATTTATCTCAGATAAGTGTCTGAATTCCATTGATTATTGGAACTATAGTTGTTTATGACTAGTACACGCATGAAAATATCTCGATTACATGTTATATGAGACAAATTTTAATGAGTTTTGATAGTTATAATTAATTTCTAAAATCAATCAGATGACAAATCAAATAATAATGAATTATAAAGCTCAAAAAAATGAATTAAAAGTAAAATAATCAAAGTTTTCGACTTGTTCAGTAATCATGAACAATAGTGGCAATATTATATATGATGTTAATTATTATTACTCAGCGAGGTAAGAAAATGCGTTTAAATGTACATAATTCTAATGTTGTAAAACTGTCATAAAAAATGATGAATCATTCTTTTTGACTAAATGAAACTTGTACAGTAAATAGCGAAATAAACTCCGTTTTTTTCGTTTGATATTTGGCATTAGCACTTTTCAGATATGGATAATCAATTATATCTACCTCCTGCTTGCCAATGTATCGATTCTATTTAATTATAATTAAATTAACGTTCACTTAATCTCTATCTATCTATCTATTGACTATTCGAAAACGTTCCGCAGAATTTTTTTACTTTCTGTATTTTACATTAAGATTAATTGTACATTTTCCTGTTCACATATTCTCAAATATATTCAAACGAGGACAGGTGTGGGTATGAGTGTCGGTATTGGTTTCTTCTTTAACCACACCCACCCTCAAGATGATTGTTTACATAATGTCAATTTGATGCAGACTCCTCTAAAAACTACCATAGTGGTTGAAGTATCAATTTTCATACGTTTAATATGAAATTGAAAATATGTTGGAATGATTTATTTTTTAAATTCAAATGAAAAAACAATACAACATATTATATTTCATTAAAAGATTTTGGCTTGTGTACTTTTTAAAGAAAATCGAGATAGATAGTATCATTATTCTATATCGACATAGAGTTTTCCAGCGCCTCCTCCAGTTTTATAGTACCAAAACGAAATTTTGTAAACAGTGCCAACTACTGCCGAAAATGATTGACCAAGAAAATTGAAACCAGTCTGACAATGACTTGTATAACAGTTATTACCAGAATTATTGTGACAGCCAGAAGTTGTAATCTGGCCTCCATCATTGCTACCAACGCACGAAGATGTACACCACATTACCCAATCGATCGGGCTTGATGTTGACATTTCAAAGCTAGGATTGTTAAGCAATTGAATTGTCGGTTGACTGATGGCAACTACAGAGACATCATCCAGATAAACAGTCTCTGCTGCTGGACCACCTTGAACAGCAAACTGAAGCACAGGTGCTAGTACCGTTGCTGTATAATTATGCGAATAATAAGTCCATCCGATTGATCCACTAACAGAAAGTAATGAGCCGACACCCTGTCCAGTACATGATGTTGCTAGAATAGAATCGATACATAAAATACACTCACAAAACAGCATAGCTACTTACTAGTCGTTGTGACAGTCGATGTCGTCGTGCTTGTAGTTGTAGTTGCTATAAACAATCAAGTAAATTAGAGTTTTTGTATTTTTATGAGAGAGAAATATTCTGTATTAATAATATTGTTTTTTTTCAAATAGACTGATATTTATCGGGAAAAAAAGAATTTTACTATAAGATACTTCGCTTCATAAGTACATTCTTTCTGAAACGATTTTGATCCTCTTCTTATTATTTCTTCTCATCTTATGTACCGCTCTTATTTCATAGGGTGTGAGTCTGAATGAAAAGTGAAGATTTATCTACACACCCACATCCACTTTTGTCCTATATATATATATAATTCTATCGAAAACTTCAGAGTATCGATGAATGGGGCTAATAGTATTAAAGTCTTCTTCGTTCACATCAACAACCTCAAATAGTATTTAAACTCTATCATGCCTGTTACTCACTGATAACGCTTCTGTTTCTGAAGTTGAACACCTTTGTACTGAATATGATAGGCACCACCTGTAATTGTCCTTCATTTAATTGTACTGAGTATAATGAACATGTTTGATTGATGGCAGAATAAGTTGCCGTCATACACAATGTATTGTTGTAGCATTCGCAAAGACAAGCACTTTCTGAATTAATCGAGACGAAGTTAGCAAACATGGTGCTTGGATCGAATGGATTAAATCGAGCATAATTGTATACACTGACAGGAACTGTCATTGATACTAATAGATTGAAAGAAAAAAGAAGAAGATGCTCTACTCTCCACAACATTTTACTGAATGAATTGAGCGTTGATGTTCTATTTGCTTTTTATATCTATTTATTTCACAGTTTTATACTCTATGACAAGAAAATGCACTAATAAAGACAGCACTTTATATCTTAATGGAACAACAAAAGAGAAGCGTATTTTAAACTAATTGCAGATAGTAGTTTTGCCTCTTAAAATATACTTTAATAAAAGTAGTATTCGTTCCATTTATCACTTTGATGAATCTTTAAAAAGGAGGCCCGCCTGTGACGATTTCTAATATAATAGGCACTTCTTGAGAGCTGTTGTGTGTATATTTTTTTTATATATCATGAATCGTACTATACTGCGTTTTCATTAATATTTATATAAGTGAATTACGCTCATATTGTATCGTTTAATGTAAAAAATACGACAAAAAAAATAGAAGTGAATATAAAACAAGTTTATGCCGTGCATTTGATAAAACTTTATTAGTCTTGCCTAAATTAAATATTTTCTCGATTGTTAACTTTTTCATTTCAGCAAAGGATTGAATTCTATATAAAAAAATGCATACTTTCCAAGGTTTCTTGATATAATAAAATACTATAGATATCCGATCAGTCTTAAGAAGTAATTGAATTTCTTAGACTTCGTTACTTGGATTTCAGGATATGAAAATTAGAATAATATTCGTCGGCGTCAGTAGAATCTTTCAATAGAATATTCTGTAACGGTAATCAATGAGACAAATGAATAAAAAGAATGTTTTACAAAACTGTTTACAATCAGTATCGCGAACCAAATGTGATATTCTTAAAGCATTTTCATGTTTAGATATTTTTGTAACTGTATTCAACAATTCATGTGTATGGTAAGATGTATATTTATAAAACAATATTGTTTAGTCTTCTGTTTAACAATAAATTATACAGAAAAAAAAACAAATGAAAAAATCAAATGATGTTATTTTAGCCGAGCTTCGATCGAAATTCAGCCATAGAGAAGTTAGGATCTATTTTGCGGCCTTTGGGTACCGCTGCTTCTTTGTGTCCTATGACACGAGCTGTAGCTACACCATAAGCTTTTTGAAGAGCTTTCACACCTTTTATATAACTCTGGTATTGTACTTCTGGCCAGTTTGCATGACCACTGTCGGTGGCTGGTAAACCAGTTCCTTCAGCTTCGATACCAATTGCATTGCTGTTGCCATAGATAGAATCATCTATGGTGCTGCCAGCGTGATAACAACGACCTGCTGCAATGACCCACCAGGTTCCAGAACGGCCCAGTCCAAGCTGTGCAAGTGGGCCGGCAAGACTACCTGTACCATCTCGTACTACTCCTAAAGAAGGAAAGTCGCCTGTTGCTGGACCTGCCGTATGATGAACAAGTATTCCTTTCACTGAAGCCATGACCCCATGTCCACGAGTCTTCCATCCAGCAACTTCAACAACATTGACACCGGCACTACGAAGTATATCAGCCAAACCAGTGAGCATAGTATTAGTTGGTTTACTGGGTGCAGGACCGGTAGATCCTCCTCCTCCTCCTCCTCCTCCATTTCCTCCCTTACAACATTTAATATTCGCAGCACCCGGGCAAATACCAGCACCGGGTGTTCCACCACTATTTCTACAGGCTGTTTCATCTATGCATCTTGGACTAAAAACATACGAGTAAGTCTCAGAAATGACAATAATAAACATCTTACCAGGTACAGCATTGAATGTGGGCGGCACCAGTACAATGACCTGCTTGAGCCGCACCTCCCAAGTTGGTACAGACACCCTTATCTATACACGCGTTTGTAGACCAACATGCTGCACTAGTTGCACGCAAATGAACAACAGCAAGACAAAACACCATAATAAAAACTTTGGTACTAAGCATCTTGTGATCACTGCTGAAAGTAAATGACGACAAATGAACAATCTTGACCTAAATAAATGAAGTCAATTTAGTAAGCGATAATATTCAACAAAAAAAGTACAATGCATTTATAGAAATACTTACTTCGATTCTTGTGATGAATATGTAGCCCAGCATCAATCGTATATATACATTGCAATATGAAAAACAAAGGATTAATTTTAAGCTTTATTATAAAACAATTCGATCAAGAGAAGCAACTCTGCCAAAACAGTTATATTTACCTTTTTGTCTTTATTAAAAGTATTCTCCACCAATACCATATTAATTGCTTCATACGAGAAGGATTAGTACAGTAGAAGATGCCACGCCTACATTTTCAATTACTGATTTAATGAAATCGAACAGTTATTCACAGACAACGACTTATTCGTGTTGCCACAGCATTCTTCAAAGTAATTAATCGATTTTTCTTTTTCTCATCTCATCGGATCACATTGAATTATCATTTAACACGCTGAATATAATTTAATACTTAATGCTAGTACATGCCTCTATTCGATGGCACGGGTGCAAACTTCTTTTAGTCCTAGTTGCATATTCTCATAGTTAAATGAATGCATAGTGTTGGTCGTGCTGATAGATTTGATCTAAATAAAACAAAAAAAATTATTTTTAATCAAATAATACGTATTGTTAATTATGTTCGATAAATTTGATCCATGTGAAAAAATAAAATAATCGTTTAGAAAAGAATCAGATACTTATTTTTCATTATACCGTAAAAATAGAACTGAAAACAATATATAACGAATGTTAATACTTTAATACTTATTGTTTCGTATGTCGATACAATAAATCTAAATATAAAACAAAATAATTTAATGATTACTTTCATTACACCGTTGGAATTAATCTAAATACAAAAAAAACTATTTCTAACAATTTTATCCTTACTGTAGTTGGACTAGTTAAAATCAATCGAAATAATAAAAAGAGAAATTGTTTAAAATAGATCTCAATAAAGAAAGTGAATCATTTATTCAAATTATACTTCAATTTCAATGCATTCTAATCTATTTCGAGAGAACATATTTTTTTCGTTTTCTCAAACGGAGATTTATTTTAATTGTCTTAGTAAAAAAATATCTTTACATCGTTTTTCATCTTATCGAATCTAATGATTTCCGACTGTGAAATAAACGATTTATTGTTGATATCTATTTAAAAGTTTTTTTACTGAGTACGGCAATAAATACCAATGATGCTCTTGATGAAATAGAAACGGATGCGGGTGTTCTATTCTCTCCATAACCACCTCAATATTTTCTTTTTGTTCAACAATGACATACTAAACAACGAAAGAAAAGACTATAGGGAGAGAACGAAAATTAGATCATTATATATATATAAATGCGGACGTCCTTAGCAATACATATTATAGAATTGTATGCCGAAGAATTAAAAGTACATTTTTGTTTTGAACAAATTAATAGAATATAATTTTTTTGGATAAACTGTAAATTTTATTCAATTCTTAATGCAGTTATTGCATTAACGTGTTTAAATATAAACAAGCTGATATACAATTACATAAGAAATAATTAATTTAAAAACTCTTGTGTAAAAAGAGGAAGAAAAAAAATGAATTTATATGACTTGTCATTAGTAAAACATAACTGTTAAAGTATGAAATGAATAAAAAAAGTGCGTAGAACGAAAAATAAAAAAATTAATCTTTTATAAATGACCATATTTCATATATGCAGTACAAATTAAGATCGTATTTGAATCATTTATTTTACCTTTCACTTTCTATTTATATGATGCATATTTTAATTTTATAATAAAACGAAAATACTTAGATATCAATGATGATCATCCTTATGACTATACGCTCCTAACACTGATGATATCTTTGATATTTTATCGATGTATAATTAACAACTGCTAAATGGTCGACAATCTTATGAAATGCTACGAATATTATTTTACTTGATCATGCATAAAATACAATGGTGTTGATTATTCGAAAGAAAAAAAATGGATTTTTAAAGTCAAGTTTCATATTTTTTATCTTTGTACCTTTTATATATTACATTAGTTTTCATCATCATCAATCATTGAATATTCCACGAAATGAAACATCTTTAAATCTATATAAATATAACGAATTACCTATACAATGGAATAATCATCCACGAGGTGTAATTGTTACACTTATGCGTAGTACTAATCATTCGATATTTCGTATTATCAATATGATTCATTCTATCGTGCTATTTCATTCAACTAATGATCAATTTCAATATCCTTTTCTTATCTTTCATGATCAAAATTTTACTTTAAGTATGCGTCAATATATTTTATCATGTGTAAATAATCATAAGAAAAAATTACATATTTCATTTATTCGTCTTAATTTTCTAACAGACGTTCAATTACCTGATAAATTTATTAGAAGAAGAAAACTTGGTTATCATCAAATGTGTCGATTTTGGTCGTATGATGTTTTTTATCATCCAGCAATAGTTAAATCGAATTATGATTATTTAATGAGAATGGATGATGATTCATATTTTTGGAATAAAACTAAAATAGATCTTTTTCACTATATCGATGAAAAAAAACTGGATTATATTTATCGATCATGGTATGATGAAGATAATCAAGCATTATTTCCAATTGAAAAACAATTTTTCAATCGAAAAAAATCTCGAACAAATTGTATTTATAATAATTTTTTTATTATTCGATTACAATGGTTGTACAAATCCGGAAGAGTATTACGTTTTTTACATGAATTAATTCGAGATGATCTATTACTTCGAGAATATATTGGTGATGGATGTATTCATGCAGCTATGCTTGACATCGATCGAGAAGTTAAAACAGAACAATTAAAACAGCTTCCTTATGGACATAATCATCATATAATGTTGATCAATCGTGAAGGTCCTTATTTTAATCCTTCAATGAATTTTTCTCAAGCACTGACAAACTCATGTAATCAATTAATATTTATTAATGATAATACGACTGAAATAAAACGAATTAAAATATAAATTTCTTGAATAAGACATTCACACCCACACCCTATTTTCTTTAGATCTATATAAATACTGAATATATCTCTACTATTGAGAATAAAATTAGCTCATTTGCTCGAGCCATAATCAAAATATTTTATTTTTATTTGGTAAGATAACTTTTTGTATGTATGTTATCAAAAAGGTGAGGAGAAGAAGAAAAACAACTACTGATAAAGCCGACGTATACTTTTTTTCTTTTTCTTTCAAGCACATGCTTTCTTCGGCTCGATAATAGTTACATTATAAAAATGAAAAAAAAAGAGAGTGAGACGAAATGGGCTTTGTTTTTTTTTGTTTTACAGATTAGTTTTTTTATACATTCAAGTATCTTTCATCGTACTATTTTTTTTAGACTTGAAGTATCATGCCTAAAACTATACTTGTCACAGGTGCAAGTTCTTTTATTGGTGGATGGATCGTTAAATATCTCCTTGAGAAAGGATATAATGTACGTGGAACAGTTCGATCTCAAGCAAAAGAAGCACAAGTTCTCGATGGTATTTCAAACGAGCATCGAAGTCAAATTTCATTCGTATATATTGCTGATATTACTACTGATTCGTTTGATGAAGCTGTTCAAGGTATTGATGGTATCATTCATGTTGCTTCACCATTTCATTTTAAAGTAAATGATCCAGAAAAAGATATGATTTTACCAGCAATCAATGGAACAGTAAGAATTTTACAGGCTGCTCATGAATATAATCAAAAAAATCAAAATCAAATTAAACGAATAGTTATTACATCATCATTTGCTTCAATTTTTGATCCAAGTCTAGGATTTCGTCCTGGTTATTCTTATACTGAAAAAGATTGGTGTCCATTGACTTATGAACAAGGTGCTGCTGCAAAAAATGATCCACTCACAGTTTATCGTGTATCAAAAGTATGTGCTGAACGTGCTGCATGGGATTTCGTTGAAAAAGAAAAACCAGCATTTACAATTGCAACTATATGTGAACCCATGGTTTTTGGTCCATCTGTTAATGGTTTTAAATCATCAGATGATATACATACATCTAATGGTATGATATGGTCGGTTGTTACTAGTGGTAAAGATGCTAAAGTTCCAGAAATACGTACACCATGGCAAGTTGATGTAAGAGATGTTGCACGTACACATATAGCTGCTTTAGAACAAATGACAGACACAAATGAACGTTATCTTATAGCAGCAGAAACTTGGAGTCATCAGAGAGCAATCGATATTATTCATGAAAGTACTACCATTCCAACAAGTATCAAGGATACAACACCAATTGGCACAAAAGGTCAACGATTATCGGATCATTTTGATATCGATAGTTCGAAAGCACAAAAAGAATTGGGTATTACATTTATACCTTTTGAAAAAACTGTTGAAGATTTATCATTACAATTTGCTCAATTGCAAGAAAAATTACAACATCATTGATTGAAATTTAATAATTTTTGAACTAAATTTTATTTTTTATTTCTGTAGTAAAAAAAAAACTTGATTTTAGTTCTAATTATTCAAAATAAAAATACATATTTAGCATTTCTTAATTATAACGCAATATAGTTGCTCGAATACTAACGTTGAAGCTTATACTTTATATAAACATCATTATCTCTCTATCTCCGTGACCGAGGTCATCCATCGAGCATGAACTTTTGCCTTTATCTTCATTTATTTTTGCTCTCGCTTGTTTCTGCTGTGTTGATTCACTTCTGGAATAGATCGTGAACAAGGTAGCTGTTCCGTTATAATTAACGCAAACAATTATTAGTTATTTGATAAAAGATTATTATATAGAACATATATTATAATTTCATCATAGTCTAGCAAGATCTTTCTTTCTTTCTTTTTTTGTATGTATGCAAGAACTACTGTATTCTAGAAGAAAAAAATTGTCTGAAGCAAAGTGAGTCATTAAATACACACGTATTACCTCCACACAACATCTATATATTCCGATGTAAAAAAAGAGGAAGAGGAAAAAAAATTCTTTCACAATCAGTTTGTAAAACGTGCACATAATACATTTTTGTTTTTCTCTTTAATAGAAATTGTTACACGCTTTTAACTTTTTTGATGGAAAAAATGAATAATGAAGAGACAAATCTTGTTCATTTATGTCCGAAATATTCGGGCGGATGTGAACATACGCCATTAACAAATGATGATCTTTTAAAACTTACGGATCAACAAGGACAATTGATTTATGGACCTAGTTTATTCGCACTTCAATATCGAGTTCTTCCTTGTACGATGAGTGAATCACAAGGAAATTCTAATGAATATGGTGATACTTATACGTACAATATGTACGGTAGATTCTCGGCTTTAAATCGAGGACGACGATGGAATGGAAAACGTAAACAAGGAGGCATGTATCATACTACAAGGTTTGTTAATTATTTTCTAGCTTTATTATATATAAATTATTGAATTTTACTTTCTAATTTTAGTGTAATACATTTTCTTATCGATGAATACAAAGTAGATCCAGATACATTTCTTTATAGTTCGAGTTATGATATCTCAGATAATGATTCTCTCATGACCGATGTTTATATCAACTTAGGCAATTATTTTTCAGGTATATGTTATTTCTTTAGGATCACATATATAACACAAAAACTTCAATTCTAAGAGTTTTCAACTAAATAAATATACTATTTGCATTTTAGTACAATTTTCGGGCGGTGTTCTAAGTCCTACCAATGTTGACAATCCTAATAATCTGAAGTCTGATCAAGAAGACAATGTTTTCAACTGTTTTTCCGTCATTCAGGTAAAAAGAAGATCCTAGTATTATAATTCTCTTTTTTCTTCTATGCAGATATTTCATATACCACAAAAAGCGAAAGAAGCTCGAATGTTATTGCAACAATTATCTAAATTCAAATTATATCCAGTAACTGAAGCTACTCTTCAAATGGTTTGTCATGATACACAACATGGTTTCTATACATCATCGATTCGAATGAAAAAGCCTCACATTACCGATCTTAAACTTCATTATGGAGATGATTTTCCGGATATTCATGAAGAACTTCTCGAAACATTACAAGAAAAAGATTCAACCGGTATTACATTACTTCATGGTCCTCCTGGTACTGGCAAGACTTATTATCTTCGTTATTTAATTAATGAAATTCAAGATAAAAGTTTAATTTATGTTCCACCTGATTTAGTCAATGTAAGTTAATTCATACATTACACAATTACATTTATTCTATCAATCTAAAATATGTTTTGTAGGATATGACAAAACCTGGTTTCTTGCCATTTCTCATGCAACATCCAAATTCAATACTCATTGTTGAAGATGCTGAAAATATTATTCGTGATCGACAACAAGATAGTTACTTGCCTAACCAAGCCGTTGCAAATTTACTCAATCTTTCTGATGGTCTACTTGGTGATGCTATGCATCAACAAATTATCTGTACGTTTAATTGTGATGTCAAAGGTATCGATCCTGCTCTCTTACGTGATGGACGTCTAGTAATCGAACATAAATTTGACAAATTAAGCGTACAGAATGCTCGTCGTTTATGTATTGAATTAGGTATACCAAATAATGGCAAGGATATTCATGAATCGACTACTATAGCTGAAATTTATACGCGAAAGAATGCTGTAGAAGCAACTTCTGCAAATGATCTTGAGAATGGCATAACATTAAGAGAAAAACGAAGATTAAATAAAAAGAAACAGAAACAACAAACACATTTGGGCTTTTATTCATAATTATATATATTCTTTTAATTTAGAAAAATATAAATAAATAAAATATATAGTTGGAGTCTTTTCTTTTGTTATTGAAAATTGAATTTTTCAAGACATATCAATTTACATTTCAATAAAATGAGACATAAATACAAGAGATGTCAGTTAGATACAACGTATTCTCTTGATATAAACATATATTTATTAAACATATCATTTTTCTTTCACATACTATTATTGATTTAATAGAATAAAATCTACTTATATTATATATTAAATACAACTCACAGATAACCAAATGAATTATTTGTGATGCTGTATTTGCCTTTTTATTTCTTGATAAATCTTTTCAAAATTTATTATTCAAATATTGTAAAATATTTGATACACCTGAATAGATTGAATCATTATCTTTATTCAAAAATTTATTTTAATGAAAATTGATCTTTCGGAATTCTAACGACTTGTCATTCGTGTGGGTGGGCGTGGGTGTGGGTGTGCGTGTGCTGGTAGTAGCTTGATGTCATTCACACCCACACCCACACCCACACCCACACCCACCCACACCTTCAAAGTGTTCTTCAATATATGAATACACAACAACAGTTGAATATCGTCGAACAATTCATAGCAACTACAGGTGATCTATCAATTTACGACCGCGCTTTTCTGTCCATCGAGAAGATTCGAGCTAATATTTCATAGATGAATACTGCTGAACAAGACAGTTGTGCATAGCTCAATAATTATGTTACAGATTAGAAGGGTACAAAATTAATAAAACTACAAAAAGAGTATAAATCAAATAAGAAAATTAAAAAAAAATCTAGGCTTCATTAATGGGAGTGTGAGATAATATTTTTTTAATTCTCTATGATCCTTACCTTCTTGAGGGTAAATAAAATGAATATTACATTTATATATGATTTATTATAAAGAAAAGCATAGAAATATGAGAACTAATTAATAAGTTTATTTATTTAATGAACAATTACATGTTTTCTTCAGATTCCATTTACGAATTGCATGGTTCGATATTGTTCTCAGATTCAATTCGATTATTTATGGAACAACACCAATATTTGTATCGTTGCCAACATTTTTTTACTAGAACAATTTCTACTTGACGACGAAAACGTGATGAGAATATTATAAAAATATAAGAGCTGATCTAAATGAAAGCAAAAACTTACAAATATGAATTAGAGAAGAAAATAATTTTACCATATAATTTATATTGTTGATAGAAAGAAGAATTGTTTGAAGCAATCTACCAATTGCATATGCCATAGGCATACTTCGTGATGGAGGAAAATTAGTCGCATAGATACGATAAGCATTGTAAGATGATACCAAACAAACAAAGGCTATCACACGCATAAGAACCATTGCTGTCATTTGTTGATCTAATTTACGACGAACAATTGGTAATTGTCGTCGAACTATATGACGGACATTACGATAAGCTAAGATACTAAACGATGATGCAATTACAATAGGTAGGAGACCAACTAAAACTGGATAAAAGAAATATGTTGAATACTGAACCCATGTATGATCCGATATGACACATCCAAATGTTGGCTGAATATCATAAGAAGAGCCAAGTGCAATGCTATGAATGATTGCAAAACAAACGAATATAAACGTAACATATCGACCTAGTTTCAATGTACACATTTGTCTTAGATTGTAACGATGATTAGTCGAAAAGAATTGATCAACCGCAGAAAAACATATCATATAAAAAGTGGTGAGCGCACATGTTTGTCCCATTATGTATCTGATTTTACACCAAATCGAAGAACGTCCCGTAGCATCATCTCCATATATTGATGTTAAAATAGTTAAACTAATAGATAAAAACTGATAAATTAAGTTAGAAATCGATTCAACAGTTATATAGAAGGCACATCGATTAGTTCGAAATAGTTTCAATTGCGTAAAAACGAGAAGATTCAATACATTACCAATAATTCCAAAACTAAATGTAATAAAACCACTATAAATCGAGTATTGTGTTGCAAAGCTGAGAATCCCATCAGATACTGACGATGAAGACATGATACTTTATTCAAAATGACATATTCTTTCTTATTTATGTTTTTCTTCTTTTTCTGAAAAAGATCTAAAATATAATATAAAAAAATATATTAATCTTTTTCTTGTCACTTATTATTTATAAAACATCTTAGCGGAAATTACTGTCACAATTGATCATAAAAGTCTATAATTACTAGTATGAGACTGTTTCTTTTTTGATACAAAATATATTGTATCTATTAAATGATATATTCATTTCGAATATAGAGTTAAAATCTAATAAAAGAATACTTGAATTTCTCATTAAAGCTATTTGTAACTTGTATAAAAGAAAAAAAAAGATGTCTTTCTCTGGACTGTCTACACATAAATAATAAAAAGAGAATTTATGTTAATATTTGATATCAAACAAATATTTCATTAAACTATTTCATTAAATAATAATGCATTCATTGAATACATATTCTAATTCATCTACACAATACATTGCCAGTAGCCTTTTAAGATATTAAATTTCATTTTCTTCACAATAAAGATTACGAATATGTCTTGAAATCCGGAGAATAAAAAATCCGGAAAATTTCTGATATCGTTCTAACAGAAGAGAATGATAATATTCTTCCATAAATGTTTATGGTTGTCTACGTCAATCATGATTATCGTCTATCGAGTGGCATTCTACTTTATTGTGCTATGCTATTCTATTAGCAAATATACACAGACGTGCACCTCGAGAGTATGGGTGTTGTGTCCATGCTTTATCCACACCCACACCTTCTAACTAAAGTCAATACTCTTACCAATAGGAATGTGACAGTTTCAGTTCGAAAGAACTGAACCTGAGCTTTCACAGTCCTACTTGTCAAACATTTCGAGAGCGATGAGTCGATCGCGATGAATATCTTGTGGGATTTTCTGTATTGGTGACTACTAAAAAGTGAACCACATCACTTCTCTTCAAATCAAATGATTTCTCTTCTTTCTTGTACATGGTTCTTTGTTAAATAAACTGTTAAATCTTTTTCCAAAAATTTTCCGGATTTTTTCTTCCGAATTTTGGCACAATACCGAATCTGTCAATTGCTTTTTATTAAGTAAAATCATTGATTCGATTAGAAGTTAAAAATTTTGTTTTAAACATACATTTCATAATTGTATTTATTTAAAAATTATATTTTGTTCTTATAATGATAAGAATATTAAATTACAAAAATATATTTAAACACAAACTTCATTTAATACAGACATATACAACAATTAAGTTTTTACGAAAAAAGGAATAGTTCAATTATGTACATATCACTCTGTATATTGCCATGTTTTACATCATTCGTTTTAATTTCTAGTTTGTGTAAATGGATTAACCATTGATACATTCATTTGTTGTCTTATATAACGACGAAATAAATTGTTCAAACCACCAACAAATGCTTTTCGGAATACACGAGATGTTAATATTGTAATATAAAATGCTTTGACATTATTTAAGTAATAAAGGTTAGTACTAAGACTAAGAAGAAAGAAAATAATCGATAAATCTACAGGAGTTTCCGTGTAAATTGGAGCAAATGTAAAATACGTAAACATTATAATCCATTGTAATGCAATGAAACTTGTTATTAGAATTTGTGCAAATATAGTTACAATAAATTGATTTCGAAGATTTTGTCCACGTGTTCTGGTTACTTCACCCTAAAATAGAATAGAATTGCATGAATGGAAAAACTATTAATTCAGTTACTTACCACTCGTCCACGACTTCGGCGAACATTTCGATAAGTAAGTAAAACAAATATTATCATTATTATTGGTGAAATTAAACCAATAAGAACAATATATGAAATACTTGTTACCATCGGTTGTATTGATATACATAAATATCCATACATAAGATCATAATTGATAGGAACATACAATGAAAAAAGACCACTGGTGAGAACAGTCAGACCAATCATCCATGGTACTATTCGAAGTTGAGTTATTCGACGAATAGATGATGTATGATCACATGTTATGGCAAATCGGTCAATAATAGCCGTGCATAGAAAATTTATTGATAAATGTGGCAAAAACACCACGATAAAGATATAGAATTTGCAAAGAGCAGATGATGTAGACCATGGTAGTGTAAATCCGAATTGCCATGCAAGGTAACTTGGAAATGAATTAATACAGAGATCAATAATATCAATGAATGAACCACAAAGTGAATAAATACAACAAGTATTTGAACGAAGTTGAGGTTGAAGATATGTAAAAACATTACCAATAAATCCAATGAGACCAAAGATTAAAAAGATTAATGGTAAATAAATAAGAATATTTTGTGATATAAAATTAAGATTGTCACTTAATGACTTTGATGTTTGTGTAATATCGCCTTTAGTTGTAATGTTATTGTCAATCATTTTAGGGATTTGTTTGTAGAATAAAGATATTTGGTCGGAATACATTAGTATATGAAATGAAGAATGTATGTATGTGGAATTTCTTTCTTTTTTTTCTGTAACTATAAACTGAGTGAAAAGCGGGTATATATATTTGATGATTTGCACTTATAATTATTCTGTCTTTTTATAGAAAGTTCTCTGTAGGTCATGTGAGAACTATTTCTGCTACAAAGAATATATACATGCTGAGTTTTTTTGCAAGAAATTTAAAACATGAGAATTTTCTTTTTAGTCATTAAGAAGGAAATGACAACATAGGTGGACATTGTCGAATGCTCTAGAAAATGTCACGCGTTCTTTTGCTTGTACAATTATTTTGGCGTTAAGAATCATTATTTATCACCTAATTACATTCTCTTGAATTCATTAGATTATTTTTTAAATTTATAAAAAATTCAAACTAAAGTTACAAGCATAAAACCTTAACTATATGAAGTATACTGGATAAACAAAGTGTATCAAAATGAAATAAAATCTTGATCACATTTACCCATTCATAAATAATATTGACAAGAATATTTTTTCTGTAAAATAATTCAACTTAGTTCTTATTTTGTCCGGGTATTCTAGTTGATAGAACTCTGCATGTTCTTTTTTTTATATTATTTTAATAGACATGATATTTCTAAAAAAGATTTCAACTTAGAAACTGGAAACATCATCTATCTAAATACGTAGAATGACGTTCACATCTCAAACTCTCATTAACAATAATAAAGTATATTTAAGTGGAAAAATAATGAGTTTGAATCTGCTTTGACCAACACTAAGCATTATTTATTACTAATAACTGTAGCATAAAATAATATCGATATATTAATTTTTCATCTTTCTGTATATATTATAAAACTATTTAGGATATTGTGAGAAGTGTTGATAGTAATTCATGGTTAAAATCAAAAATGAATTTGTAAAAGTCTTATAAAAATTGCATAGAAAAATTTATTAGATTTAGAGTTCTAATTGGAATAATGTCTTTTTAGTGCAAATAGTAGCAGCCTCGGAGATAAATATAATATGTCAAATAAAAATAGAGATTTGAATTATAAACTTTCAGTAGAATGAATACAGTAATTAAAAATATATTTATCAGAATTCTAATTGTAGTATTAATCAAGGATTTACAGAATTAAAAAGTGTATTTTTAATCTTCTAATATGTCGAAGTGTAAATTTAAATTAGTTTACTTGTTTGAATCGAGAAAAAAAACATTTTTATGAAATGAAATTTAATTTTGTTCAAGTCGTTAGTATTGTTTGATAATGAAGAGAAATGATAATTACAGTTATTCTCATATAATCTGAAAATTAAAAGTGTTATTATTACGGAGCTGTGCCTTGAAATAGTTATAATTAATTCATTATAAAATTCTTTTATAGATTATATTTATATTAATTCTGACGTCTACAAGATGTTAAGAAATATAATTAATTATGGACTTTATAAATATTAGATTCTATTCAGACGAAAAGAGGGTTTGATTATTTTGATATATT